GAAGCTTCCCCCCCCCCCCATTCCTTTTATGTTTCACTGTGAGTGAAGGAACCACCATCAGTTTCGACAAGAATGCCTGATTACCACATACACACGCAGTTGTAAATAATATTAATAGTGCTGAAACTACAGCTGCAGAAGAGTTCAGTATCCTGCTGTCACAAAATGGTGTTGCATATCTCAACCTTGTGTTTGTGCACTATGAGTTAAATGCATGGCAAACTGCTAAATGATCATAAAGAAAATCTATGACAAAAAGGAATGTAATTTTTTCAATCTTAAAGTAAAACTTTCAGGTCTTTAAATTAATAGTTCTAATATTTTGGGTTGTATCAAGTATCAGCACCTGGCAAATCCTTTGGATATGTCTCAAACAGGTGTATAATTGTGTAATTTCTTATTCATGCACACCACAATGGAGACATAGGTTTGTTTCCTGAGGATTACTGAACTTTGCTATCTTCTGGAATATGGCATGCGTAGTCTGGTATATATTCAGCAGCATACTGGAGGAAAATGCTGCCTTCATCTTCAGTGCTGATCTACCAGACATCAGTAATCTTTGTAGTCATGAGAACCTCAAGTCTTACAGCAGTGTAGATATTACTGATTCATTTAACCCAGTCTGTTAGAATATATCTGCAGGATCCCTTGGTTACAGAATCAAGCCATGTCTGACTTTCACCATTACAAAGGAGTGGGATTAAATAAAAACGAAGACAAACATTCGCTCACTGAGTGGTATTCGAATCCACAGTGTTTCAAAAGTCTAAGGTTGTGAGTGATGGAATACTTGCTTATGTAAGAAGAATCCAAGAGAACTCATATATAGGATATATGTGTATAATGAGGGCAGTCTATACAACAATATTTGTGAAAAACAAAATAGGCACTATTATATCAACATTTGTTTCATTTTGCTGTTGACGCTACAAGTTTCGGCGATCATCAGGCATACAATGATACTAGTCCTAGTTCCTGAATTGCGTATAATTTCAGTATTGATCCATGTTGTGTTCTTGTGACTTTTAAATGCATAAATTGAATTTTCAGATAAAACATAAATACTTAGGCAGTAAAATATAGAATTAAAAATAAAACTTAAAAATTAAAATTGTACAGAAATGAGATATTTTTGTAATAAATCTCTTTGATACTTTGTGACTGCTACCCCTCGTCAATCCCTTCAGCCACTGACAGTATTCCCCCCCACCTCATACCACTAGATTCTATACAAACACATACACATATACACATAACCCCCACCACAGCAAGTAGTCTAAACCAAACCACTACAACATAGTGACAACATCAGCACAAGGAGCGGCCTGTACACATATACACATAACCCCCACCCCAGCAAGTAGTCTAAACCAAACCACTACAACATAGTGACAACATCAGCACAAGGAGCGGCCTGTACTCATATACACATAACCCCACCCCAGCAAGTAGTCTAAACCAAACCACGACAACATAGTGACAACATCAGCACAAGGAGCGGCCTGTACACATATACACATAACCCCCACCCCATCAATTAATCTAGACCACGCATGTCAAACTTCAAACAGGTTGTGATCGACTTTTTAGTGTCAAAACTGCCAGTGATCTACCACCCCCTCCTATTGTCTTACCTCGCTTTAAGTAAAAATATTGATAAAAATAACATGACCATGATGTTTGTTGTAAAAGCAACAAACATGGAAAGTACAGACTACTTTAACACGTATTTTCCCTTCAAAATCTGAATATAATCATATTATATTACAAGTGAAGTTACATGATTTTCACGTATAATTTCCTTATAGGCCTATGAGGTCGACCAAAAATCATCCCTTGATCGACCGGTCGATCGTGATCAACACGTTGGACATGCCTGATCTAGACCAAACCACTACAACATAGGGACAACATCAGCACAGGGAGCGGCCTGTACACATAATATCATAAAAACTTGGTATGCATAAGTACATATACTAAACAGCCTAAAAACAGGTTTAGTCACAACACACTCAACAAGCTTCACCTCATAATAATTAAATAATATTGTTACAGATCACTCCAAGTAAACAATCTGTTGGGTGATACACAAATAACGAGCATAGGCTGCACAAGACGAGAGCAAGGTCGAAACCACACGACCTAATTTATGAGAGATCTTGATACACAGGCACCCCACACTATAATTGCTTCTACCACCAGATAAGCATATTAACACATAGCAGTCAAAAAGCTGTAAAGAGCTTTATTACAAAAATACCTCATTTCTGTACAATTTTAATGTTAATGTTAATGTTAATAAATATTGAAGGGTGTAGAGCCATTGCTATGAAACGGCCCTGAGATGGGAGAATACTAGGGCCGTTTCTGTGCAACAGCTCAGTAAACATGTTCCCATGGCAATGGATAGCAACAGAGGAACAGTATTTTCTAAATAGTCTGTGTTGAGAGGTTATAAGCAAGGGACAAGGTTAGAGCTTAGTCAGAGATCAGTGAAAGTATTATAAGTTCACGAACATGTGCGTTGGCCAGAGTGGTTTTTACGGACTTCACTTTACATAGTGTGTTCACAGCCAACTCCCGTTTGGCGATGATGGTATTGATGAAGTTTGCTGCCTGGCCGTGATTGTGTGCAGTGCTGTGCGAAACAACAAAGGAAGCAGTGTACTTAAATGTACACAAAGATGGCAGACATACCAATATCGGGATTCTACAAATACTGGAGTCAGAAGCTAATATCGCTGAAATCTCAGTGTTATGCCATCATGAATAAGTAACTAGAAACAGCTTCTGTAGTACAAGTGTATAAAGTACTGAATGACATTGAGAATCTTGCTGGAAGCACACCAGCTAAAGTGGGGGAAAGGTCTGAATGGACCTATATTGTGATTAGTGCAGAGGAGAACAGGTGTAGATGGGAAGCCACATTTGAGCACTCTATATGGCATATATGGTAACACTGAATGAACCGAAGGCCAACCTTAAGGTGCGTACACAGGCAAGACAAAGTACCGCAGTGAACAAAACATCAGTGGAATCAACGGCCCAGGATGACGACTTCGGGGAAGCAGAGAGATGCAAGAAGAGTATCTCTAGTGATACCTCACAGACAGCCAAGAATCGCCCAGACCAGTCCCAACATCTGCAGTTGTCAGGCTGCCTGCAATAGCAGTGTTAGCTCTCAACTTCTTTGCACCTCTCAGAACTACTGACATGGACACAGAGACTACTGGAGCAGAGAACGCACTACCAGACCAGGAGGATCCCAGAAAATCAGGTAGGCCTCCACCAACAGTGACGACTTCTACCACAAACATCATTCGACTCCAAAATAACATCAAAGGGGAGTACGAGTTCCGAAATACACAAAATGGAACCTTTATCATAACAAAGGAAATGGCAGACTATTCAGCCACGAAATCCTACATGGAGAAAAGTAATCTCCCCTAGTTTGCCTTCTCCCCAGATTCTGAAAATCAAGGCATTAATCCATCACCATCCCCCAGACATGCCAATAAAAGATATTTCCAGTACCTTTGAGGACTGAGGCTTCAACGTCATCAACGTGAGG